GCTTGGGCAATTCAGTAGAAACACAAGAGTTAAAACAGTGGAAGACATTGTTTACTAAAATTCCAGATTGACATCCTACACTGTAGTTGAGCCAAATTCTCCATTAAAGTGGGATTAATATGAAAGAAAAACATTCTGGTTTGTTTTGATTGAAGGCTTATTTTAGCAATTGTTTTATTAACTTGATTTATTAGGTATTATATTACACAAAATTGATTTGTGAGCTTCAAGCCGTGTTAGAAAACTGTTACCTTGTCAAAAACATGGACTTGCGTTTTCATTCACACATTATTTAATTAACACACAAACCCTACATAGCTGTTAACTTGAAAACTACCACTGACAAATTAAAAAAAGGATTACTCAGACGTGTGAATGAAACAAAACACAACTCCTGGTATGTTTTGGGGGAGGTAACAGCATTATAACATGGCTTAAAGCTCAAAATAGTCCCTTTTGTGTAACAGAATCTTTAAGTGCACAGTAATTGCTATATTTATCTAACCATTTACCATTACAGTACAACTCTCAGTTTTCACCATGTTTTGATACAAGCTAAACCAATAATATGAGTCTGTTGTTTCCACCAGTAGAGTTTGTCAGTAGAGATGATCTATGAACGAGGAGTGGTCCAGTTTCACCACCTCCACATCGCCTGGTCCCCCCGAAGCCTCTGTCTGGCCTGTCGCTGCCTATAAGCCCAGAGGAGAGCTATTGCCGCTGGGAAAGACCGCTGTCCACACCTCCCTCATGCTCCAAGGTGACTCACAGCCACATGGCCCCACACTGGCCCAGATGCACTCTCCACTCATCCCCAGAATCAATGTGACAGTGCGCTGTGCTGTCTGGGAGCCCTCATTGATTGAATGGGAGTGGGGCTGATGCATTTACGAAGCTTGTGGACCGTCGTTTAGACAGCATTGATTTGGGGTTCCACCTGGGGCCAGTTTAATAGAGCATGTCTGGGATAATCAAGGCAGTTCTGTGGACAGAAAAGGGATCGAGCTAATGCTAGTCTGACCACGCCCGTTGCCAGTCCTGCTGAGTTTTAACAAGCAGTGTGCAAGGTTTTGCCTTACTTTGATGGTATACAGGAGCGGAGGCAATCATTAGCTGTATAAAGGGCTTTGGTATATGGTGTTGTAACTGCTCAGAATACAAAAGGGTAATAAGGAAGCTGCCTTTATAAATTACTGAAGATGTTGCAAGAGGAAGTAAGGGTATCAACAAGGGAAGTATAAATAAATGCCATGGTATTGCATTATCCAAAATCAATAACAAAACAGCTAAACAGCAAATGTGCCAGTGCTTAAAGGTCCTATATTACACAAAATGGACTATTGTGACCTTTTAGCCATGTTTGAATGTTGTACATCTCTAAAGCTCAAATTGCTTTATTCCACTGTGATGTCATGAAGCAGTAGTTTTCAAGTTAACAGCTAATTTTTTACCTTTTATCCAGTACAAATTTGCGATTGCAGGGCTAAGATTATCCAAATGATTCTAATGAAGGTGAAAACACAGTGGAGCACTTCCTATTTTATCACATGGCATAACAAGGTTGAACATGTGTTTTCTGTTTAAGCCCTAAATATGCAAGATTTGATGAAACACAACTCCAGGTGTGTTTTGATGAGGAAACAACTTTATAACAGATCAGAAAATAGAGTAATATGAGCCCTTTAAATGCGATCTTTGGCTGTAGTCTCAGGTAATAATTCTGTGATGCTTTTATAATCTGTCTGAAATGCGCTAAAACATGTCTGCAGTTTCAGTTTCACAGTAAAAAATCTGATAAAAAATCAGACAATAAAATTTACCATCAGCTCAGAAATATCACCCAGTATAGCCTAGTTCCCTTTTTTTGTTGTGGTAACAGATTTTCTCAAGACTATTTTCACCCTTTCTAAACAAAACATTATACGAAGAATAAATTAATGATTCGAATACATCAGGGAAAGAGGAAATGAACTAAACTAGCAAACTATTTTTATTTTGCTAACATGGCATTCTTACAAAGCCATGTCTGATTTATTGTTATGTAATGCAATTATGTAATACCTATATGGATATATGAATGTATGAATGTACACGTATATATAAGTAACATTTGCGGTTAGATATCAGTTTTCATCACATGACAATGGAGATGCAGAGTTCCCCATAGGCTTTGAAGGCTGTATAACATTACAACCAGGAGCTTTAAGTAAAAACATGTCCACTCATAGAACGCTGTATGTCGCTGTAGAAACCCCACAGGGTGAACAGTTGTGTCTGATGACCATCACATGTGGCAACAAATGTGGCGCAGACATCTCATCTAATCACGGCTAAGTGGAAATGTACAGATCTAGCAGCAGTCACAGTGAAGGCTGCAGACAAAGAGACGAGAGGCCTAAATAGCATGAACAGGAAGTGAGAAAGAGACGTAAAGAATGTTACCAACAAACATGACTTCCTGTTTAGCAGCAATAGTTTGAGTTCATATGATGTCATTCTCAAGACCCTAGTTTAATGGACTGAGAGCAAGACAGAATTCCAGTATAGGATCCAAATTTGTGAATAAATAAATACAAAAAATAAGAAAACATTGGGATTAACTTGGCACAAAATGTAACAATTCTTCTCAAGAAGCTCCAAACAAGATCCGATAAAAATTACAAGGAAAACCAAAGAAAACAAGCATAAGGTAATATTTCTGCACTGTGGTGGTGGTGAAGTTTGTAGTGCATTCAGTTTTGTGCAATACTTGAACCTTAACCAAGAGACAAAGGCCAACATAAACAGAACTGAGCACATTTCGGACAGATTGCAAAAATATTCTTTATCAATATCGCCTATTTGCAGTCATTAGAAAATGCAGTAATGTTTGGACCTGATGTGGACCTAAATAATGAGGTACACTGTTTGTGGACTGCATGTTTGAATGACCCCTGACCTCCAGCTGATATTTGGTCATAATGAGATCCTTGAATGCGAACGCGACCTATTGGTAAGTCTATAGTGCAATACGGCCAGCATTGCAAAAGGCCATCACTGATAATGGGCAGGTCGCTTGCAGCACTGAACGTCGCCCTCGGGTGGGTGGGTTGGTGGGTGGTTGCCATGGAAATCCGCAGCAGAGCCAGTCAGGGAAAGATAATTGACTTAGACAGTCGACTCGGAGGAACCCGTGTGTTCAGATAAAACCACAGAGCACAAAGACATGAATTAGTGATCATAACAAGGAACCAGTTTTAGTGACAGTTTTAGCATGTTTACTTAAAGGATAGCTAGAGATTGACTAAGGTATTTTACTATGCTGAAATGTCATAGTGAGTACTAATAGACAAACTTTCACTTTTTGGCACATTATTTCTTTCATCTTCTCCAATGTACAGCAATTTGCCTAATTAATTTGCAATTTCCTACATTTATCCAGGCTTTGACCAAGCACAAAGAGAAAGCTTGTGGCTAGATATTTTGTACCATTATACGAGCACTGGTGTTCGATGCTATGTTACTAGGTCTGTTTCTTTGTTCTGTAAGCTGGTGCTGAAGTTATTGACAGGCCCTTTGATTCTAGCATGTCGACAAAACCCAAAAACAAATCTTGACACATTCATCTTCATTTGAAAAGGCGTAAAAAAAACCCTATCAACACATGTAGGATTTATCAAGTACATTGTTGATCATCTGAAAACCTGCCGCACACAACAGCTTTGACAATGAGGCAGCCAGCCGTCTCCGCCCACCCATCTCAGGAAGTGACTCAGCACCAGCAGCTGTTGCCATGGGATACCGGCAGGCAGGACAGCCCGCAGGATCCCATCAGACCGGGTGCTGCTGACACATCGGACCCTCCCCTCTTCCTTTTGCTTTTCTGAATATATCTACAGACTCAGCTCCAGCCCATCACTTTCTCAGGGTGGTGTTTGCATTAGAGGAGACATGCTGCAGGCCTTAATCCCATGCCTCTGGAACAAGATGTGGTCCATGTGTTTTGTGCTAGCTGTTAGCCCAATAGCCTCCTCTGCCACCCCTCCTCCTTAGTGCAGATTAATGCCTTATTAAGAGCAACTGACTTAACTCCAATCCACTTATACCGCTTAAACTTGCTAGACTGTAAAGTAGGAACAGTTCGCAAGATGCACCAGTGAAATACATGCAACTTTTCACAAACTTAACCCCCAGCTTACAGTAGTGACATATTTTTTCACTTCCTGATGCTCATAAATGCGCATATTTCCAATGCAATGTGATTTAAATGGGCACTGTGGAACTTTTCCGGAGGAGGGTCTACCATCTAATCATCTCCACTGAGAAAAGTTTCCCTATATGCAATAAAAAAAAAAGTTACAGTTCAGATCTGTGGAGAGGTGACTACTCTCACAGTAAGAATGGAGGTTTCAAGGCATTTTGAGCTGTAAAAACCAGTAATTGTGTAAATGCAAGATACATGAGATATATAAGAAGATTAATGCCATAGTGTGTGACATTACAGGCAAAGCAATAACCGGACCCCCATCAGAAAAGAGTGCATCTTTTAATATTGGAACCTTGCATGAGATGTCAGCCATGTCATGCTAATACCATTACCTCTCTGTAGGTGGAGGCTAATTTAGGCTAGAGGCTCTTGAGGGCACAGGGCTGAGTAAATCTCCCGCTGGGCTGCACCTTGTTCAGCAGATCAGGGCTCCATAAGCCACTACTCACCCATGCATCAAACTGACAGAGGAAACAGTTTCCTTTCAGGTTATCTATGGTCTTGAGCTACGTGTTAATAGTAAACCAAAAGTTGCACTGTTTTGCTGACAGAACTAGTCATAACCTCTTCCGCTAAAGACATGACAAGGGGTCTTAACAGGTTTCATTTCCGTATTTCTGGCTTCCAAAAAATGCTTCTGCTACAATTATAAATCCCTGCCAAGCTTCAGAACATAGAGTGCTATTTTACAGTCAGGCTAATCCTGCTGGTGATAGGAGACAGAAGGAAAGTGGCTACAGAGAGGAGGCTAGTGTTTTCTTTTTAGTAACAAATTCTTTTTTATTACAACATTTCACGGTTTTCCATTTCCGGTAATGATTTGTGGCAGAGTAACATGACTGCTGGGAATTTACAAAACTTCAGAAGAATTTAATTTAGTCAAAAATTGAGCAAACAGATGGTTTGACTTGCCAGTGTTTTTTCCACATTTGAGACGATTCAGAGACAGATTGCTCAACACAAAAGCTATCCCGAATGGTTCAGAAGTAGGGCCCAGACTAGTGACCTGTGAATAAGGTACACTTGGGATCTCCCAGATCTATATGGAATCCGTCAATTACTTTGATCCTTGTGTAAAAAAACAAATCACAAAAACAGAAACATAATGACACAATTTTTGGGGCATTTACATTTTGGCCAGCGTACATACAAAGTTGTGCATTTTCCGAAAATTAGAAGACAAAAACAATAAAAAGCTTGACGCCTGGGTTTTGGCGCAAAAGCAGCTACACAGGAAGTTAGGTTTTGGTGTTGGTGAATGAGGCGATGATGTGCTTCCTGTCCCTCAGGACACTGTGTGCCCATGGGAGACGCACATTTTTAGGACCATGTCCCCTGCCCCGCCTCAGATGGACCATCTTCGAGGGGTGGAGATGTTCACCAAGGAGCATGTGCACCATCCGTCCGAACGCGTGTGCAGCGCGACTGTTGTTGTCATTTCATAATTTCGGTTACAAAGTTATACAGCTAAAAGAAGTGACTGAAAACAAGGCAATGCAGGAGAAGGGGGTGTACAGTGCATGATGGAGGTGCAGGCTTCATGATGCTTGTTCTGCCTTCTCCTGTTCGATGGCTGTGGACAGAAGACAGAAAGGTGTGAGGAACTAGACTGTGGTATCCGCCCTCTCCCCCAGACCCCCACCACACAGGCGCACATATGCATGCACACACGCTCGCTGCACACGCCTGATGGAATCTCACTCACTTTCTTTTGAAGGCAGGGGGTTCTTCTCCTGCGTCTGAGTCTTTTTCAGCTTAGTTTTGTCAAAATGCTCCACCTCAGAGATGTCGGGCTTCTTGTCTGACATTTTGCGATTAATCTGAAAAATAAAACATAAAAGTGTGAAACCACAGTAAGACAAAAACTTAGACATAAACACAATCACATAAACAATGATTATGCAAGAGGGATTTCTGAGGCTAATCTTGATTTCTGCAGCACAATAGAGGGTTGGGCGTTGTCTGAAATCACGCCGATCTCACATCTACTCCTACCACATGCGCAACACTTTCCCCTCCCGTGCCTTTGTTCGCCTGCAGCTCCACTCAGCCTCACTGGTCTGCCGTCCCTCCCGTTATCCAACACTTCAGCCCGTGATGCTGCAGACAACAAAGCCAGTCCGAAGGCACCCATTTACATAACAATGGAAGTTCCCATGCTGAGAAATGGCCATGACGCACAAAAAGAGGGGAAAGCAGCTGCGAATGTGAAATATTTATAGATAACAAAATTGCGCAAAGACAACATATATTATTGATGCATGTTTGTTTTACGAAAGTGTGCTTAGTTAACGAGACGCATTTCAGAACATCCGCAAATTCACTTGTCACGTAGGCTACTTCTACTTCTCCCTTGGCGCAACGTAAAGGAACCACCGCCCAGATTTTGCCCATTCACCAAGCGCCTCTCCCAAAATCCAAGTTCAACGGTGCAAAATCCCCCAAGAATACGCCTACAGCAGCGTGCAGAAACAAAGCACAGTGGCGTCATTTGAATATAACGGGACCAGACGCACGCAGCAGTCAGCAACAAAGGAACGGGCTCTTGGACATGTGCGAACGTGTCCGGACAAAGACAGCAACGCATATCACGTCACTCCAATGTCCCGTCCTGCAAAATAACACCTTTACATAAAATTAACCTTTAATCGGGCCAATCCGGGCGAAGAAAGTTGCAACTAGAGTATTAGTGATGCTGAGCGGGTTGACTAATACCTGGGTGGACGTAATAAAACCCAAACATGTTATTTAGTTAGGATAACTTACCGGAGTGTTGTCTAGTGCCTGGGAATGTCTCTAGTCTGAGCGTTGCAGCAGTAGTGGCGTGCCCAACTGTGCGCAATAGATATAGCCAGAAATATGCTAATGACGCATGACATCACTAGGCTCCCTCGCAGCGCCCTCTGGCGGAGAGGCACGGGCACGGCGTCAAACGACATGCGCTTTTCTAGCTGTTCAACTCTCTGAAGCCACCACAAAAGCGAAGTGTTTATATTATGCCACAACAAAACACAAGTGCGCATTGTAGTTTGCAATTTAGTCATATTGGAGTATTTCTCATAACTGCGTCTAAATGAAATCAGAGGCTTTACGCATACTCCGTATTTTCCTGATGCTTAAGCAACGAGCTCCCCCTGGCGGGAGAAAATGAAATGTTCATAACCAATTGAAAATGCTCATACTCTTATAATGATCTATCAGTAATAGCTTATTAAAATGAAATAAAACATGGTATGCTTTTCAACTTTATTGTGGCAAAATACACACGTAATAGCCTAATCCAAGACATAGAAGTATTTTGGTTAATCTCCAAGTACTAATACAGGTCAGATGTTTAAATGTATACTATGTTGAGCTGTGCAATAAATCTAATTTGAATGAAGATTCAGTAATTTCTGCTCGCCAATGACATGCTTGGGTCTTTTTAACCAAGGTGAACTGTCAGTCCTCTCTAAGTAAAAGCATGTGGTTTGGAGCAGACTTTAGACTTTGGTTAAGATGGTAATGATTAAGTGCATTGTTTATGATCCTGAAATTAAGATATTAAATGGTCAAACTCTAATATAAACTTAAGTTCAGCAGTAATTTAGGGGACGATTTGGTAGTTATAGAGGCGATGGGCAGGAAGATGAGGAATGCTCCCAAATGACACTTGAAAATACACCGACTTTGTAAGCAATTGTCAAAGCTTTATTGTCAAAGAAACAGCTTAAAGTGTTACATATAAAAAATAATGATATTCCACCATCTTTAATTCACCTTCAGGTAGACGATGGCATCAGTGAAACAAAAGTGACCCGTTATGACTGTGACAATTACACCACTTCAATGACTTCAGATGAAATCATAAGTGAGATTTGAACACTCCAAGCCAAAGTTCAGGCTCAATTAGTTTTAATGACCTTTTGGAATGTGGATGGAGGACCCACTACTACCTCGTACTGAACAATCAGTCACAAACATGTCTATGGTTTTTACAAAACTTAACATACGTTTGTAGGTTAGGGTTGTGAAATAATCATTACTATTAGCAGCTTTTTGTCGGCACATTCTGGTTAGGCTCAGTACTAAAAAGAAGACATGGAAATGTTCTAAGATTTAACCGGGAGGCCTAAAAAAAGCCTAAGAAAGCATGAACATAGCATCAATATATATAGCTGTTAGTATATAACTCTTAATATTTCAATGGCCGCTAAGCAAATCTTAGGGGAAAGGTGCGCATTCAAATTAAGCTTTTTTTATTTGGGGAAGTAGAATTGCTTTCCAGGCATTATACAAAGAAAGGAATGCATGAGGTCAGCTCAGACAAGACTAATGAGCCTTTGGTTCAAAGTGAAGGCCAAATCAGCAAAGAATGATGCTGAACATAAGAAAACAATACAAAAGAATGAACTTATAAATACAAAATCATCTTCAGGAGGAAGAGATCTGCTCTGTTTCCCGGTGTGGATATGATGTTTACAGTCACATGTGTGGCCCTGGAGGACCTCTGAGGAGGTGGTGTGCCCCCCACAGGAAAGGGGCGGGGCTGGTACCTTACACTTTACAAAGGAACATGGCTGAAGAGGTAGGACACAGACTCGCCGTTGTGAGGTTCTCCTGATGGCCTCTGCCAGGATCATGGAGATGTCAATTACCTACACGAAAAAAAAGAATGTATGATGTATAATTCATGTCATTTACTTACACTAAAAAGACATAGCCAGAGATTTCATTACCTGGATTTTAGGGCATGCTTTCATCTTCTCCTCCTGTGGTATTGTGTTGGTCACGACCACAGCCTCAAATGGGGCCTGGTTGATGCGAGAGATGGCAGGACCTGAGAAGATTCCGTGTGTGAGGATGGCATAGACCTTCACTGCCCCAGCATCGATCAGCCTTAACATAATACAGTGACAAACAGAGTCAAACACAATCAAAGACATTTTCTGTTACAGTTTTTAAAGACTGACTTGTCTGCGGCGTGGCAGATGGTGCCACATGTGTCGGCCATGTCGTCCACCAGAATGGCCACACGGTCTTTGACGTCTCCCACCAGCACCATGCGATCCACTTCATTTGCCTTTTTCCTCTCTTTGTGGATGAGGGCAAAGTCCACATTAAGACGGTCTGCAATGGAAGTTACACTGAGAACACAAAGATACGGTTAAACCACTGTTAGAAAACAGGTTTACTCTCCACATCACAGTCACCCTACCGTTTGGCTCCTCCAGCATCTGGAGACACAATTATACAATTTTTCCATTCAGGAATATTCTCCTTTATCCACTGCAGAACAGCTGGTTCTGCGTACAAGTTGTCCACAGCTATGTCGAAGAAGCCCTGCAGAACAAAAACTAAATGTAAACACATATAAAACGGACAGTAAAAAACAACTGACAATGTACAGTAGCCCAACCTCAAACTTAACATATATTGTATGAATTTTGGTTATAATTTAGGATCTAATATTAAAACTGCTAATAATGTTCATATTTATATTGACACACAATTGAGAGTTGTACCTGGATCTGTGAAGCGTGGAGGTCCATGGTGATGATATGGTCGGCCCCAGCAACAGACAGCATGTTGGCCACCAGTTTGGCCGAGATGGGCGCCCGGCTCTGAGACAGCAGCACAGATACAGGGCTCAGGTAAGTACATCTCTCTATTCATATAAAGGTGTCTCCTCTGGGTGAGTGAGGCACTGCACCTGCCTCTGCCCTCTGTGTACACTGGGAAATGAGCGTGTGTGCGTAAAAAGAAAGTGGCCTGTGGCTATGATCCAAGCTGTTTATATCCACGAGTCCCATATGTTTAATAACTCTCACTGTTCTCAGAATAAATATATAGTACTTGTCTATGTGCCTTTATTTTTATTATGCGACACCAACTCAATCCCAAAATTCAGCAGCTCTGGGCTTCTTCTGTAGTGTCAGTGTGTCAGTAACATGGGTTTGGACTGTTTATAACCTCTAAAACCAAATAATTAATAATAATAATGGAAGTGTACAATGCAGATAGCAAGGACTATTTCAGTGACCTTGAGGTTAGTGGGCAAATTGCTCTTTCTATAGAACTGCACAAACTGTGTCACGTAATCTGCTATCTAGGTTTTTCAGGTCAAAGGTCACAGGTGCTTACACACATCTGCTCTTGGATGTTTACAAAACACACGCACTCATGGACAACTTTAAACCTCGAGAGATGGGTGGGTCTTGGACATTCACAATGATTCAAATGCATCAAATAACAGTTTTGTTCAGTGTGAAAGTGAAGTAAGGACAAAGCATAATGTACAAAGTGATTTTTTTTTTTTTTTATCTCAAAACGCCCTTGAGGTCAAAGAGTGGAGGCACTGTTTGCTTTGCCCTTATGTGAAGTTACCTTCCTCAGAGAGGCTATTCTGTTCAGTGTTTTACATGGAACAGTAAGTTACACCAACCACAGGTGGCTCTAGACAATCATTTACCAGAGAAGCAGAAAATGTCTGGTGGCAATGTGGATTAAATTTCACACTTGGCTTTAAAGTTTTACTCCAGTTTAATTTGGTCATTTTTGAGCTAAGTAGAGATACCTTGTCCTTTTTATCTTGGCGAGCGTAGGGGAAGCAGGGGATGACGGCGGTAACCCGGGACGACGAGGCGATCTTGCAGGCGTTGATCATAATGAGCAGCTCCATCAGGTTATCGTTGATCTCTCCACAGCCGCTCTGCACGATATACACATCCTCACCACGGACACTCTCCCCAATCTCCACACTGTACAAACAAAGAGAAAGCAATAGTACACTGGATTTATGCATTACCTGTATGTACCCATAGACCTTTTGTGCTTGATTTTTACTAATACAGCTTTTAACTCTTATTTCAAACTCATTTATATTCTTCCATTAGTCATTTCTGCAAACACTCTTTAATCTTACATTGTGCAATCATACAAATGTAAATTCATGTCTTTGCAAGCAACTTGTCATTAACATAAGTCATTTCTATTGGGAAATATCTGGTGAATCGACCTTGTTTGATGTTTGGAAATGTTCCAAGTAAACCTAGCGGTGTAGTATAGAACTCCTCGATAGAAACGACCATAAAAACATAAGGCAGCACATGTGTGAAACATTCCTCCTCTTTGGTCATGTGATCGCCGTATGAATTTAGTGCTTTACGGTGAGAACACAATACACTCTTTCAAATATATACTCAAATCATCATAGACTGGGAACATGTTATCACACTTAAAATGCCAGTCAGATAAGAGGACATTTTGTTTGTTTCAAGCATACATTTTTAATTACCACTGAGAAAAAGACTTTGGATCACACTGCCACATAAAGAAGAATAAAGGAATATTTCTCATTGCAAAAAATGAACCTTCTCCAAAAAACAAACATTTCCGGCTACTGCTGTAAACATTAAATAAGCAGGTGTCAAAAAAACACATTAAACATAAAGGCGAGATTTTTCCTTATTTCCCATGCTCCATTTGGCCCTAAATGAACTGTGAACAAATGACCAAAGTCTGGGAGATTACTACTAACCCTTCTGCCCTCCTCCTTCTTGTCATTTTGTGCTTTTCTGTGTATTTCTCCATCTACATCTGCATGTGCTTGTGAGAACTGGATAAGAAAATACTCTGTTTTGGTTTTGTGACACCCAAACAACCATGTTCCCTTGAGAGACAAGTTTGATACACACGTAGGATGGTGTGTAGAAGGAAAGGGAATTAAGCAGAGGCCTTGCATAGACTGAACTGGCTTTTAACTGTAGCACATTTGGGTACAAGTGGTCAGTGGCCCCTTTACTGGCCCCAAATGAGACTCTATCCTGCTGTGACCATGTTAAAGCAATGCCCAGTCAACCACAAGATCACTTTAATGTAGTGAGGTAGTTGGCTTTGTGTAAAAACACTTAATAAGAGGTGAAAAGTCCCCTTAAAACTCCATTGTTAAAGCACTTTGGACAAAAATGCAGGGACAGCTTGCCTGGCTCATCCCCTGTAATAAACAGGACAGCATGAAGCCAATAGGTCAACAGGCACAAAAGGTCAAACAAAAGCTATGTGACCTTAGGGAACTTGTTTAAAGCGCAAGCGCTACTGAGGCAGGGCCAGTTCTTTGTAATGAGTACGCAGACAGTCACTAGTGCGCAGCCGCTTATTATAACTAATTGGAAACTTGTCTACGTGAGCAAATGACCGCAAATTCAGTGCATGTGATTTAACGAGAAGCATAACGCACGTACATTGTAGTCAAGCACTTGTGTAGGCTGCTAAATCTAATTCTGAATTGTAAGATGAACTGGAGTAGGTCAGAAAAGTCACGTAAAAAGACCATGCGTAAAATCCATCGTAAAACCACGTAAGGCAGATAGTAGTCTATACAGTGGATCCTGTATAAAAAAAAATACAACTCTATTTGGGCACTTTATAGGAACAGCTTTTTAGCAAGAACCTTAACTTTGTCCACATTTGTGTATAGTTACTTAATTAACACTAAAATAATCGAAAAACGATGACTACAACGTCTGGTGCACCACTTTATCTTACAAGATAATGGAGCTTGATTATTCATAAAATGCTCGTTATAGACTAGATATCGCATAGCGTCAGTACAAAATGATCCTCCATGACTTAAAAGCACATAGCCTGGCATGCTACTTAATGGTTACATAATCCCGCTATGTCCCTATTTAAACCCTATATTTTAATGAAGCATGATTTAGGTTAACACACAAAGATATTAAATTAGAAGAATTAATGTAAAAGATATGTGTACGTGGCCTGACATTAGCCTGTTAGCCTGCTGTGTTTACATGTGGCTAGCTTGTCACGTGTGGACAGTTGAAGCTCATCCCGCTCAGGCAACTATTGTTAGCATGGAGCTAACTTTTACGCACATGGTAACCGTGGACTGCTGACACCAAATACTGCTACAATACGGGTTCTTCAAACAGTACAAGCATAAAGTGCATGTGAAATGTGTACTTACCATGTTTCCTGATTGCTGAATTTCTTGGTGATGACTTTCCCGAGGTCTAGTCCCAGCCGATCGGCCACCTTCTGGGACAAATCGTGGTGCGAGCTCCCGCTAAAAAGGACAATGTTAGGCATGCTGGCGATTCAAGCGGCGTGAAAGTCCGAAAAATGGGAAGGGGAATTTAAAAGTGAGGCGTCGGCGTGTCCCCACTGAAGGTCGGAAAAGAGATAAATGTGCGGGTTATTGTTGCGTCTCTGGCATTGCCCTGTGCACCGCTGCGTCCGTCGGCAGAGAGGAGCTGTGCGCGGAGAGAGTGCGTGGTAAAAACCCAAAGCCCTCCCCTTTTAGATAGACAGGACTCCCCTCCAAACAAACGCATTCTGGCTGTTTTCCTAAATAATTAAAATGAAATACCGATAGCAGCTCCTTAGTTATTGAAACGTTTCTTGGTTTTTGAATTAAATTATGCATATTGCAATCAAATGCGTGCATCTAGGTCTTTAGCTTTAGATGTGTGTCAAAGGTCGGCATTTTGTTTTGGCCATAATATTTTGTGCTGTTATAAGCCTCAATAAAACAAGATAAGTAGAGCTATAAACTAACTACAGGAGTGAAAAGCAACAAAAGTGCATTTTTTGATAATTGCACTTTTTGAGTATATTTTTGTAATTAAGAAAAAATCTGGCATGTAATTATAAAAAGTTACATTTTAAATCATATGAATTGTTTAAAAAGAAAATTCAGATTTACATTTTTTGACTGATCAAGTTTTGTATAAAAATGTAATCTATCATGTATAAAATTGCATTAAAAAGTAACTAGTACCTTGAGTAGTACTTTGCACTTTCTACTTTTACTTACATACAATTTTGGCAGCAGTACTTGTACTTGTAATTGAGTACATTATTAGCAAAGTAACTTTTCTTTTACTCAAATACAATTTTTCAGTATTCTTTCTACCACTGGCTAATTATAGATTACAGTGTATAATGAAACATATGGCAATGCCATATGTTTCATTATGCAATATCTATTTAGCATGTTTTATATTTTATTCAAACCATATTATATTCATATTATATTCATAGCCTACATGCAGAATCTTTACATACAGTCCACGTGATGCCCTCATTATCATTCATTTATGCCTGGGTGCAAACTGTGCCCACTTATAATTAACATCTAAGGCTTAAGAAAATTCTCCGGGTTTTCTGCAAGAGGCTAACAAGGTCATCTGATCTAAAACTTCGGTTGAATCCAGGAGGACACTAGAGATGTGGACTCTGCTAATTACATTTGGCACTCAAAGGGCAGTCAGCTGAGGCAAATAAGTAACTCAGAGAAGGAAAAGTACAGAAGTATAGTCTGTTTTGGATAGCCTTTTAAACTTTAACACTATTGATTGTGTAGTTTTGCCGTGTTAACAAATAGCTGACAAGAAAAGCTTCCTCGGGATTTTGTCACACACTTTTAATCGTTAAAATGATACTGTGGACAAACATGGAAAAGGCAGATAGAACGTTACAGCTGTTAAAGAGTATCTACCATAATGATTTGGTCTAAATACCTTCTAGCTTTACTGTGCAGGAAACAATGCAGACACACACCAGCGGAGGTTAGTGTATTTTCAGAAATATATTTTATAGATGATGTCAGAGATGAAATGTCCAAAGCGTAGGTCCCAAAGAAAGAACAGTTTTCATCAATAGAGACAAACAACAAACAAAAAATAACTTTTTTCATTTACATGTAAACCAAGATTTGCTCTTGAGCCACAGTGGTTATATATAGAACTGGCCGAGGTGGATCTGACAATCAAACGATGCCCTTTGCAACCTTAACTATATCTCACCTTTAACTTGCCGTAATAGTGCCCGTTTAAAAATCTTTGAAAGTGAACATTCTTTGGGAGTCTTTTAAAGGTGAATAGAGCAGAGGTTTGTCAGAGCATGTTTCTCTTTAACACAGTCCATACATGTAATAAGTGCTGAATCATTAAAATCACTTATTGGAAAAGATATTCATTAAGAACAATATCAAACCTTTCTCAGTGGAGTCATTTGGACAAAGTCTTTTTGAATTGTTTGAGCACCGGAAAAGCGCCGGTTGCCGCGTTGAGTTGCCCATGGGGAGGTTCTCTAAGTCCTCCAGTGTTCTTCTGTTGTGCAAATACATTTGTTACATAGACAAGCAGGCATGCTGACTCACAAACCATGCAAAGAGTTTAAGTTGGCGCGAGCAGACAGCAAAAAAAGAAACATCGGAGTAGTAATAAAGTTTCTACAAAAACGTGAAACCTTAAATTTGTATTTTAAAAAAGAGCCAAATTAAACAACTAACAAGTGGAATGTTCTGTTAGACATGTAAAAGTACAACTCAAATTTTAAGATATAAAAATGTAAAAGAAACATGATAGTCATCAATCAACATGGCAAAGGTTCATGGAATTCATGGCAACTGGTGAATTTTAAAACCAAATTTGGCGAGAAAAGAATGTGGTGTTATGATAGTGCAACACATGCTCAAATGGAGGCTTCTGATTGGCCAATATTTCCGCAGCCTCCTGTATCTCCTGTCTCTCCCTCTGCTTAAGGAGAAAAACTCAGCCAGCTACATGAAAATGGCCGTCAAAGCTCCCTTTAGTCGAATGCTTGATGTGGTCACAGTCTAAAGGTGAGTGCATATCACTCATGCACAAGAGTCAATGATCAATTAGGCAACAAAGTGATCAATCCTTTAGTGAAAAAGTCCATTTCAGCGCCATGAACGTCACTGAGGGCCACTGGAAACAGCGCAGTCGATGACGAGTTAAATATGCAGCTTTTTCACGGAGTAATATCGTACACCATACTGTTGTTCCGCTCACAATATCATAGCTGTCATTAGTTAGAGTACATTTATAAATTTTCCATATACAAATCTCCTATAAACAGTACATGTTATAAATACACAAGTGATGAAAATGCAGAAAAGGCTGAGAGCCGTAGAAACAAAGTGTTTTGTTTTTCGATAAATACAAGAAAGAAAGTCTTCACGTGACTAAGTGTATGAATGGCAGCCCTATTACTATCCAGAAAACGGATAAAAACACAGAACTGATCTATGGATGAAAAAACATTTAGAAAAATAATCTTGTACAATAAAAATAAAAAGTGGACACGCTTACCAAACACAGTTGATATCGAAACATGGCAAAGTGAATGTGGAAATCATACAATGTAGTTACAAACAGGCAGTACCGACCACCTTTTCAAAATATATTCAATTCAATATACATGACTAATGTTTAGCTCACACTAGTAACCAAGGTAGTTGCCAACGGGCAAAGCATGGGGCCTGTAAAGAAATGCTCACTTGATCCGTGAAGATTTGACTGGTAAACATTGAACTGGTTATTGGAGCCTTCTCTTAAAGGGCCAATAGGAAATGTCCATCACCTGTCAGCTAAAGTACTGTTGTAAATGCAAACTCATGCTTTGGCTTCTCTTGCTCGTCTCTTTTGGATGACATTCATGAATCCTGCGTCACTAGTGGCTCTCTGCTCTTATGCATGCTTATGTGTTTTACAAAGCGGTGACTTCAGTTAAAGGGAGGCTACATAAAAGGCTGCTTTCAGTCTAATTTCCGTTTAGAAGTTTTCCATGTTTGCACCTTTTGTTTATCTACTGAAGCTGGCAACTACCTTTACAAAGCGCTGTCTTTTTTACAGAAAAATAGATCCATCCAAAAGTAAAGTAACTCTTCAAGAGAGGCTGTGACAGACACAAATGTTGTCTTCGTCACATTCCAAGTAAACATGCTCAAAGATTGTTTGCTTAATTTTTGTCATTCTAAGACTGGAAACTAACTGTCTCCTTTCCTCGCTAAAGATTCCCAGAGAAATCTTTGAACTTAAGGCAATCTTTTCCTGAACAATCCTGAAATCCAGCGGACCCTCGCCAAGGCACTCCTCGCATTCATCAACAACCCTCTGCAATGACAGGCTGGTGCCGTGCGGTGACAGTCTCACCACGCGGTCAAGTCTTTGTAAAGGCCTACTTGAGCTTCGGCCGCCCAACGTCCACAGTGAAGGAATCAGGTAAAATAAGCTCTGAGTCTGCTGTGAGAAAACAGGCTGTCCATGTGGCAGCAGGTAAAGCACCGTATGTTTCTGTGAACACCTCACTCATTGTCACATGACCACAACATGATCAGCGCCGGGCTAAAGTCGGGCCAACACGGACAGAAAATGAGTGTCTCTACAAAGCCAATGCTGCCAAGCAATGCCTTATGTGTAATGTTTTTTCTCCAGTTCAGTCCTTTGTCTCCTGATTGGCTCCCTACTCTGAGGCTGAGCCCACCTCCCCTCTCCCTGGTTTTGGAGAAACCCAGGGTTCGCCAATCAAGATGACTGACGGGTGAGTGGGCGGGACTAAATGAAGGGATCAGTCGACTCTTCGCAGCTCAAAGAGACATTCTGCGCAGAGGTCAAAGGTTACAGTGTGACACCCTCGTGGTTCCTCTGTTACAGTGGTTCCTCCTCCTCCATGGGCTCCTCCTCCGGCCTACAGGACAAACGCACACATTAATGCACAGATAAGCTCTGACAGAGCTGGACTCACCCTGGTCATGTTTACACACACACATACAAACACACACTTTAGAGTACAGTTACCTGTGGTCCATGGCATTGGAGTTGGCCACAGACAGAGAGGCCATGGCACTGACCGCCTCAGCCTCCTCTGAGTCTCCACGTTTGGCCTCCAGTAGAGACAGCCCCAGCCGTGGGGAGTAGCGATGCACAGAGCGCCAGTACTTACCTACAACAAGCAAAGGTTATATTGTATTCAAATATTTGTGGTCAAAATATTACTAATAGAACATTTTTTTTTTTTCTTTACATAACTACTGAAAAGTCCAAATCTAAATAGTTAGGCGCCACCTTGACTTAAGAATACACCGGTGTATGTCAAACAGGTTTCGAGTTGTCACGCTACATATTTAAAATTAGCACATGCCTCATAACCTTATGCAACATAACATATTAACATATTAACATATTAGTGTTGTGTCTTTCAAAGAAACCTCCATTTAATTATTTTTTTGTTGTTTGTGATTATTAAATATTAAACTCACTATGCGTCTCCACGACTTTCTCTAAAGAGCGGACAGCGTTGGCATTGGGCCTCTGCTCCAGCACAGCCTTTGGCAGAGGGTCCAGCTGCAATGAAAGCACATGACAATAATAATGTCAGCAGTGAAGTGCAACAGGGTGCAATACCAGGTGTGTCCACAGGAGGTCAGTGCTCTGTACCTCTTGTCCCAGCA